TAAGGTTGTCAAGCTCCACAATTACAAAAAAGCACCAAAATATCATAAAAGCATCAACTGAAACCATACAAAATTATTGTTTAAACAGGAAATTACCTATGAGTGAAGATAAAAGATTTTGGTTAAAATTTCATTATCATTATCATATGTCTTCAGAGTTCTTGAATATATGGATGTCAATTTACATACATTTCCATGATCGACCATAATCATTTAATCGTTAACCTTAAACTCTTAAACCCGATATGGGGGTGCTGCTAAGTTATTGTCATGTTTCTTGACAACCACTTTCTTAACCAATTTAATTGCTTAGAAACTTGTGTGTTGCATATGAACCACATGCATCTCAAAAGTGTTATCATTTAAATTATTAATGGCAATTATTTGATCATTAATTAATTATTTGCATCCCATATGGACTACATTTATGCTACTGTTATAGTGCTTTTTTTGTTATTTTACATACGTGTACATAAGACCATTGTACGTTTTAGATAATGAGTGTGAGTAAATAATGGCAGAACTTTCATTGGGTAAACTATTCCTTAAATAACACACTCTCATATGTGCAGTATGAACATTATACATGCAATATACACAGAAAACATTTTTGTTTTGTTCCCACTCAGTAACTTGTGTGTGCTAAGCTGCTGTCGCTAACTGTGAGACTAGCATGTGCAGTATTCCGCAGCTCCAGTCTGTCCTCAGCTAAGCCTGCAGAGCTGAGCTCCTCTTAACCATGGAATCGCCAGCACTGCACTCCCTCTCTTACGTAACCCTCTGATAGGCCTAACCCTTATGCGTAACAGCGGACAGGGGCAAGGAGCCTGCGAGAACAACCACATGCTTGTTTTTGTTCAATAATAGCATTGTTTATGAATGTATAACACGTACACTAATTCTGATTCCTTGGTTCTGCACTGATGCTTTTTGACAGATGCAAAATGCACACGTCTTGGGGTAGTTAAAAAGAAAACGAATTTGCAAATCTGTTATGGTTTTAGCAACACTAAGATGTTACAAATCTAAAGAGGTAGTTAAATCCGTCGCTAACATCCCTCTAGGTTTTTCTATTTACATATTTCATCTCGTCCTTTTAGGTTTTTAATCCCTTAAGGAAGACAAAACAGTATAGGTACCACAATGACAAATGTGCAGCGTCGTTGTATTGGTAGGGATGGCGATGACATCATGTCCTGTTGGAATCTTATGGTGGTGTGGATGATTGCTCTGACAGGCAGACTATACAGGCCTCCTACCCACAAACCCGGGGAGGCTGTGGTCGTCTTGGCAACAGTGACACAGACACGGACGTCTCCTTATTTCATATGACAGGTCTACACACACAGGCCCTGTGGCCATTCTCACACAAACAGACATTCAATATATTAATTCAGACCAAAACACACTCATACTCAACCCACAAACCATTTAAACATACATAAACTGAACATTTCTCAACTTTCATCTGTAATACATTCGTAGATTCAAATTTTGGCTTGATAGTAACTAAACTGATTCTAACACAACATAAACACATGCAGCATGGCATATTTTATCGATGGTCAATACTGCCATGGCCTAGAGAGCTAGCGCCCTGCTTTTAAAGGGCTATAAATAACTTCATGCCTGTTGTGTGCAGTTTAAGGTTGACAGAGTTATTTACAACACCGTTTTTTGTATGAATGTGTTCACAACAGGTTCAGGTCTCAATGCTCGTTTGACCCAGTTTAGCTCTGGCACTGGTCAAAGTGGGTCATGAGAGGAACCGGTCCAGTGTTCAGAGACTGGGGCCAATCGCGAAGAACTCACAGTCCTCGTTACCACGCACAAAGACTGAAGATTTAAGTACCAGGGCAATTTTACACTGCTGAAAACACCACTCTGTATTATGTGGCCTTAAAAGCAAGGACAGGGTGTGCTAGTTTTTCTTTTTGAATAACTATTTTCACATGTTTTACTGTGTCCCCGCAGATGATAATATTAGTGCCTCAAGATGAAATGCTGTGATTACAGAATAATTAATAGTTAGTTAACAGTCTGTCTGTCTGTTATTAAAAATAGTCAAATGTAGTAAATCAATTTGACAAAAAGACATTGAAATGTATTAAAATACATGTAAATAATGTATTACATTTACTGAGGTATTTTTTGTAGTTTTTGTAGTTGTATAATTTCCAACCATTCGTCTATGGCTGCACAATTAAATGGATGGTTCACCCAAAAATTCTATCATGAATTACTCACTCTCACGTCGTTCCAAACCTATAAGACCTTCGTTCAGCTTCAAAACACAAATGAAGATATTTTTGATGAAATCTATGAGAATACTTTTTGTGCGCAAAGAAAACAAAAATAATGACTTTATTCAATGATTCTTCTCTTCCATGTCATTCTCCGCCACCAATCACGGGAGTACCACGACGCATAAGTGTGATACTGCTGAAGTAGAACATGCATGCGCTGCGCCTTGTTTACAAGCAGAGGAATACACACGCATGCATCGTGGTACTTTGACGAATGGCGGTGGAGACTGACACGGAGGAGAAAAATTGTTGAATAAAGTCATTATTTCTTATATATATTCTTTGCGCACAAAAAGTATTCTCGTAGCTCTATAAAATTACGGTTGGACCACTGATGTCACATGGACTATTTTAACAATGTCCTTACAAAATTTCTGTGCATTGAACGTGGTAGTTCCCTTTCTGTCTATGCAGGGTTTCGCATTTCATCAAAAATATCTTAATTTGTGTTACGAAGATGAACAAAGGTGTTATAGGTTTGGAACGACATGAGGGTGAGTAATTAATGACATAATTTTCATTTTTGGGTGAACTATCCCTTTAACCTATCCCAGCAGAACACTACAATTTTCTTCCTAGTATTTTTTTTTTTTTTTTTTCTAGCTACAATTGCCCATACTGCTTCGCATTTCATACAGGGGAGACAATTCAAGGTGACATTGCTTTGGAAACGCTTGTTTGTGGTCCCTGTAACTGAGGGTCATTGGGGGCAAACACCCACCCCCATAACCACCAAACCCACAGACACTGTGGCTTAAGTTTAGTGTGCTAGACTGAGACAGGAAGAACTACAGCCCAGACTAGCCACAGCTTAACCAAGCAGCACTAGTTAATGTATGTGTGTGTGTGTGTGTGTGTGTGTTAATCCCATTACACTGCCCACAGTATATGTGTGTACATTTAACCTTTCATATATTAATAAATATTGCACAAAATCGCATATTCACATATAATTCATAAAACATGTGTATGCATATACAAAGTATGAATACAATATACAAACTGGTCAGCGTATAATATATACACTAGCCAGCCTCTCTGAGTTTATATTCTCACAGTCAGATTAGCAGCACACACACAAACACAACTAGAGATGCACTCACACTTCCAAACCTCTGAGCTTCACACTGCGATCTCGAATCAGGTGTGCGTTTGCATCTGCAGTGCTTCTGTCTGAAAATGAAGACAGATATTGTAGGTAAGAGAACATTTCAAGTTTAAAGGGGTCTTAGTTTGTTTTGCAGTTAAAAATGTTCACTTCACATTCAAACAAGTACAGTAACATTTCATTTAGCTCTTTTATCTAAAGCAAACTGCTGCTCTTAATAATGAATTTGGCAGGTAACAAAAATTGCGTTTGTGCTTTATGCATTTTGTAAGTCATTTTTACAAACAATGCTTAATGCTTGATTTTATTTGTTTTTATGTATTATCTTATTCTTTAATTCAGTTTCCTGTAAACTGTGCAGCGATGGAAATAAACTCAACTCAAATGTAAAATTATTGTCAAAAAAAAAATCTATGAAAAAATGTAACCGTTTTGGTTATGTTATTTAATCTAAAGAAAAATATGTGTAAACTAATATTGCAGTCAAATCTTAGCTCATAATGTTCATTACTGACATATGACTATTAATATTGTGGTCATTTTTGGCAAGTTTTTTGTGAGTGAGTGATGGATCTTGCATGGAACTCACTTAGCAGTTGGCTGTACTTCTAAACTATATCGGAATCGCATCTGAGACTGCTGTTGCATTTGTTTCATTAGCGAGCTGCTTGGACTAATTGCGTGTTCCTTTGGTCCTAAAGAAAACAAAATCTAAATGCAAATGTACAAGAATAAAATTGCCCATAATAGTAAGAGAGAAATATAGCATTTGTTCTTCTTTGTACATTCTTTATGGCATTATAGGCCGATGTGAATTTGCGTTTGAGTGAGGAAAGATTAATTGAGAATTGCTGCATCAGATAAGCCAGTTGAGAGCAGGGGAACAAGCATGTGTAGAAATAATTTAGGATTAGATTGGGTGGCTAATCTCTTTATTGTGAGTATGCAGTCTCAGCAGGGAGATGGGTTTCTCTCTCGGTCTTCCTTTCCCTCACTCTCTTTCACTCTCTCAAAGGTTTTCTGTCTCCTTTTATCTTTCCTTTTACATTTCCTAGTGATACGTGCAAGTGAAGGGAAGGTTGGAGCTGAGCCTCTCAGCCATGTATTTGTATTTGGTTCCTCATTAAACAACTTGCCATATTCTGGTTATGTAATTCAGTGTGTAGCTTGCTCCTGCCTTTGCCTTATACATGTGCAAGGTTGTTTTCATCACGGAAATCTCTCAAGCATCATGCTTAAAATGGATAATGGAAGCAGAAATTTTGACAAAAGCACAGGTGAGATCCCATTCTGGTGGACCTGAGACAAATGCAGCATGGGGTTTGGACTTTGACTCGCATCTCTCAGCTGGCCTAATGTTTCCCTTTTTGTCTTCAAAGACCCACAGATTACAAAATGTCAAAGTGTCTTGACACAAATTTAAAGGGTACATCTCGGTTCGTTCTAAAAGCGAAGTCACTCTTAGAATCAAGATGGTCATTGTCTCACCTGAGAGGAGCCCTGATGTGCATCCCACAGTCCTTATCAAGCAAACAAAGGCATATGGTTACGTAACTCTATTTTTGTTTATTTCTGTCTATTTTCAGCCCAAATTGAAGTCATACCATGCAAAATCTGTGGAGATAAGTCATCAGGCATCCACTATGGGGTTATCACATGTGAAGGCTGTAAGGTCAGTGAAAGATGTGCCTTTTCTTCTGTGCATTTTTTAGTCATCATACAGGTGTTCCAGCCATCCATGAAAAAAAATTGTATTTTGTTTTGCAGGAAAACTATGTAAGCATTCTTAAAACCAGATAAACTTATCCAATGCAGATTTACTGTTCAATATTAATACTTAATTTCAGAGAATGGATGATTAACGATAACAAATTATATTAATAATATTTTTTTCATTTATATACTCTTTTTATTCTAGACCTGGGGTAGGCAAGTTCAGCTCCAACCCTGGAAAAAAAAAACTCACCTGCCTTTAGACTTAGCAATCCTGAAGATATTGATTAGCTTGTTCAGGTGTGTGTGTGTGTTTGAGTTTGATTAGGGTTTTAGGGTTGGACAGCGGATCTATAGGACCGAACTTGCCTACCCCTGTTCTAGACAGTACAGGCACATACTCATGGACAAGTACAAAGCTGTCACTGGGGCTGTAGCCTACAAAAGTTAAAAGGTACATCTTTGTGCCTTATTTACCTCTAAATGGTACATATTCGTACTTTAAAAGTACATATTAATACCTAAAGTGTACAAATTAGTACCTTTTGAAAGGGTGTCACCCTAGTGACAGTTTTGTACCTCTTTTTACTTTTTTAAGAGTGTATAATTTTTATGCAAGTAACTTATCTAAATTTTCTGTTGTTGTGCCCACTGTAGGGTTTTTTCAGGCGCAGTCAACAGAACAATGCGTCCTACTCCTGTCCCCGTCAGCGCAACTGCCTGATTGACCGAACGAACCGCAACCGCTGCCAGCACTGTCGGCTCCAAAAGTGCCTGGCTCTGGGGATGTCCCGGGATGGTTAGTAATATCATATTCTTTCTTACAAACAAACATAATAATCAGCTGCTTGTCGACAAGCTGGATTGATTTTATTGATCACTTTTAACCTGCACTAATCTCATTCATTTTCATTCGCCCTCCTCCATATCAGCTGTTAAGTTTGGCCGCATGTCCAAGAAGCAGAGGGACTCTTTGTACGCAGAGGTTCAGAAACACCAGCAGAGGCTGCAGGAGCAGCAGCAGCAACAGACGGGCGAAGCGGAGGCCCTCGCCCGTGTTTACTCCTCCAGCCTCACCAACGGCCTCAGCACCCTCAACCATGAAATTGGAGGGACGTACGCCAATGGTCATGTCATAGACATGCCCAAGGGTCAGCCGAATGGCGCTCCAGGGGGCTACTACGGCATGGACTCCACACAGGCCAGCCCGGATCAGTCTGGACTGGACATGACTGGAATGAAGCAGATCAAACAGGAACCAATATATGATCTCACCCCTGATCCCAACCTTTTCACCTATGGCTCCTATCAAGACAGCCAGCTAGCACCTGGAGTGTCCATGGGGGAATTAGGTACGGAATTAGGTGTTCAAGTTCATGGTTCATGTATGTATGTTTAAAATACTTTCTAGCGAACACATTTACTTTGGTTGCAAGAAATAGTGGTCCTATATTTGATTTTACTTGCATTGCATTTAAAACTCAACTGCAGTCATTTCCTGTCTTCACAATTTCTGTTTTTCTCTGTACCAGACCGAATTGCACAGAACATCATAAAGTCCCACCTGGAGACGTGTCAGTACACAGCGGAGGAGCTTCAGCAGTTAGCCTGGCAGACGCACTCCTATGAAGAGGTCAAGATGTACCAAAGCAAGGTGCGAGGTCACTCCCTCAATGAGCAAAGAGCTCAGGTTACATGCTTAAACACTTCCTCTGTCCCTGAATCTCATTCACAATGCCAGGTTCTCAGTCGTACATTCATTTACATGCTTTTACACCTGGTGCTGACTCTCTCATCTCTCACCCTTTAACTCCTCTTCGCTCGTACTTGGTTCCCTCTTCATAGTCAGATTGCACGCTTGAGATCAGAGTTCATTAGAGTATCTCAGCCCCCTGGAGCTGATCCTATCCAGCTTTCGCACTGATATAGAGAAAAAGAGAAAGCCAGAGACCTAACGGATTTAGCTAACAAACACTCAAAGCACAATAAGGGAGGGTGCCAGACGTACTACAAGCCCTCTTCATTTCCCTGTGTCAAATGGATTATGGGTAATTACCGAGAAGCCCTTTGAAATAGTGCCTATGAAGATTCGCTATACAGGGAGAGAATTGCAGAGCTCACAAAAGCAATTTGCTGATATCACATTTTCAGTATTCTGTGTGCTCCGTCAGGATGTTTCATAAATGGGAAACTAAAAATTCTGCCTTTTTTGTTGCAATTTTTCATGAGTACTGAAAATTGCAATCATTACTTTTTAAAAGTAAATTAAAGAGTCAAAGTGTACGTTACAAAGAGAAAGATCTACATTGAATTCAGTTTCCTGTAAACTGTGTCAACTCAAATACTGTTTTGTTTCACCTCCATGTTTTACAGTTAATTAATATTAATAAAGAAATTAATACTTTTATTCAGCAAGGATACATTAAATTGATCAAAGGTCCTTGTTAAGACTTTCACAGTTTAAAAAAAAACTTTCTCTTCATCAAAGAATCTTGAAAAAAAATGTATCACAGTTTTCATTGATACACTAATAATAAGAATAAATGTTTATTGAGCACCAAATCAGCATATTAGAATGATTCCTGAAGGATCAGTAATCTATTGAAAACTAAGAAATCTACTGGCTTCTAAAAATTCAGCTTTTTCATCCCAGGAATAAATTACATTTTGAAATATATTAAAAATATAAAATTATTTACAATTATTTTAATAAAGCCTTTAAAAAACAAAATGTCCAGACTCCAAATGTTTAAACCTTAGTGATATTTGTGATTTGTTTAAATATTTTTTGGGATGTGATTAGACAATGACAATTATCAACAATGATATTAATTAAAATATCAAAATATCAAATATCAATTTCAATGCATCAAAAAAAAATTCAATTACTGCAATTATTAACAGAGGAAAAAACTTTCCCAGAAGCATGCAATCATTTATCCTGAATAAGTTACAGATGACAAGCTTATCCATGAGGTCTGTATGTGTGTGTGTGTGTGTGTTTCAGACACGGGACGTGTTGTGGCAGCAGTGTGCTATACAGATAACTCATTCTATTCAGTATGTGGTAGAGTTTGCAAAGCGCATCACTGGCTTCATGGAGCTTTGCCAGAATGACCAGATATTACTGCTGAAATCAGGTGAGGAACAGTCTCTGCTAAACTCTTTTGCATATACATACCATATTGCTACTGTACGTTGATTACGATTGGCCTGCTTAACACTTTTCTCACATACTCAGGTTGTCTGGAAGTAGTGCTGGTCAGAATGTGCCGGGCATTCAACCCGCTAAACAACACGGTTCTGTTTGAAGGGAAATATGGAGGCATGCAGATATTTAAAGCTCTAGGTACAACTACTTCCTATTCGCTCTCATTTATATGACATTTTCTGCATCATTTACAAAATGTACATGATATAAAAATAGCTGAACATCATGTTAATAAAACTGCATTAATTTTAAATTATTAGTGATAATTTAAGCATCTAATCTGACATATATACCTCCTGCAGGCTGTGACGACCTGGTCAGTGCAGTGTTTGACATAGCCAAGAATCTGTGTTCACTGCAGCTAACGGAAGAGGAGATTGCCCTGTTTTCTGCAGCAGTGCTCATTTCTACAGGTCAGGCCTCACTTCAAACCTGTCGAGTAGTCAACTTCTTAGTTGGAACATAAAGATGTGTTCATTGAGTATTAATGTGGCCAAATCAAAAATTTTGTATGTTTAATTTATATTACCGTCTTAGTCCTACACATAATACCAGAGAGAATTCTCAGTATTACTGCAGTGCTTTTACATCAACAGATATTAATAGATGATTCTCTTGCATTTCTAGACCGGCCATGGTTAATGGAGCCCAGGAAAGTGCAGAAGCTACAAGAGAAAATCTACTTTGCCCTGCAGCACATCATGCAAAAGAACCATCTGGACGAGGACGCGCTGGCCAAGGTAGGACGTCTCAAGTGACCATGACATAGTTCAAACAGGAATTAATCACATGACTGATATAACTCAAATAGATTGCTGTTTTGTCATGTGACCCTTATTCCTCTGTACCTCCTTCTGCAGCTGATTAGCCGGATCCCCACGCTGTCGGCTCTGTGCACTCTCCACACAGAGGAGCTTCAGGCCTTCCAGCAGCTCCACCCAGAGACGGTTAACATGCTATTTCCCCCCCTCTATAAGGAGCTCTTCAATCCTGACGCCGCTGGCATCATGCCCAAATGACCGCACATGCTCACACGCATTCTTCGCAAAGTCTTTCATTCAGCAACCGGAGGTGTCCCAGAGGATGAACCCTGTGTCGCAGCATCCGCAGATTTTGCAGCCACAACAAAAAAAAAAAACTTAACTCTAGGAATGTCCTGCACTTCAAAAATCCAACTCAATTTCACCGGTACAGTCATAAGAATGTATATATGCGCCAGCAGCAAAAGGCGCCTTCCATTTGACCAGAAATGTACAGACTTTTGGACAATTTAAGCTGTCTTTAAATTGGGTAAGTTCATTTGTTTGTTTGACTTCTCGCTCTCTTTTTAATATAAAATACTGTTATATTGAAATGAGATGGTGGGGAGTGCATTCAAAAATGATAATGTAGTAATTTCTCTAGTACAAAGCGGTATTCCAGTATTAAATCTTGTTCTGTTAATATTTTAGTCATAATTTAAATATGACGGTGGTCTAAAAGGCCCTTACCTTGTCTATGTAATTTTCCGTATTTGTTTTGTAGTTTTACCTGTACATAATATGTGAAGTTGAAACTGGTATAAGGTTAACGGGGGACTAACTTTGTTTGGCCACGTTTAAAAGCCTTGTCTGGGCTATGTAGATATGTCTAAACAGCACCACAACATTAATCCTACAACTAAGGATTTTTGAAGTGGAAAAATAATTGATAAAAGTATAGAGATATATATTTTACAAAAATTGTATGGCCGATTACCATCTTGTCAGTCATAGCTGCAATAACAGTTTCTGTAACTGCTTAAAAACAATCCAGTCAAATGTGACTTAATGGAAAGCCCTCAGAACTGCTTCAAATCTATAATCCCGTTTGCTCTAAATGCCTCAAAATGCTGTTTTTACTGCCACACTGCCAAAACTAATACAGCACTAGTGTAGTGGAGCTGCAGCCGTCTGTCTGTGATAGCATAAATCGCTAGGACATGATCATTTACTGCCACTGATATGAAGTCAAACTCATCTCTTTTCTACAAAATTCATAGAAGATTCTCTGACTTTAGCAATAATGTCTAATATGTGGTTACATGCTGGGTCTGTGGTATTCTTAACTTTATGCTAAATGTAAAGTACTCATCCTTAATTTGAACATCAACTTATTTAGATATTTATTAGATATGCATAGTTGAAGATGAATATCTGAAGTCACTAAAAATGTATCAATTCCAAAAAAAACAGTCAAGGAATTTAAGCAATCAATTGGAACATTGTCTTATTTTTAAAGATGCTTTCAAAATTCCATTGGAATTTTTAAACATAATTTGGAACTAATCCTGAAAGATCACAATCAAATAGGAATTCCTCTATAAAATAAGATGCTATAGTGGATAAACGGAAATGTCTATTTTTCATGCTTTTATTTATGTATTTATTATTTTATTTATTTACTTTAACACAAAATTGCTACATTTGGGACAAAAAAAAAAGGAATATGGTTCTGATTAGGTGATTGTCTTGAAATTTAGCTGGTTAAGAAACTATTTTAGCAAAGCAGATTTAGTCTTAAACAACCACAGAGAAGTTTCCTGTAACTCAGAATTGCTGAGCATCCTTAACTTGCTTAAATCCACTGTTAAAAGGCTTTGTAAAATCTTAATGCAAGTGGTAAATGACAATCATCTTTGATTACTCACATTGCAGTATAGAACAACAAAATGCAGCCACTGTAGGAAAATAGTAGTTCTGCAAGGGCAGTTTGGGTTTTGGACTCTTGATCCAAGGTAAATCTTATAAAGTACTATCTCATACCACCAGGTGGAGATACTGAGAGCGCTTTTCATAGAACAACAAAATGCAGCCACTGTAGGAAAATAGTAGTTCTGCAAGGGCAGTTTGGGTTTTGGACTCTTTTGATCCAAGGTAAATCTTATAAAGTACTATCTCATACCACCAGGTGGAGATACTGAGAGCGCTTTTCCCCTTCTCTTGACCTGTACTCACAGGATGTAAAGCCATATGTGTTTCTTGTGAAGGAAAAAAAGAAACACACTAGCTAGGAGTTGACATTCTAACCGATCAGTGAATTTTTAGTACGTCTTGATGCATTTATATTGTCAAATGCACTTGAAAGCACTTAACAATGAAGGATTAATAACTACAGATGGTATTGGTATTAAATACATGCACAAATGAAGTCTGCTGAGAAGCAATCATACTACCTGTTCAAGTCCTCCTACTGAACCATATGCTCTCAGCCCAACTTTTTAGGGAATGTTTCCAATTCCTTCAGCTTCCTGTTCAAGACAATCATTTCTGGGTGCAATTTTTCTTGCCGCCCATCTCAGGGACTTCTCTTTTAATGTTTTCAATAGAAAGAGAGTACTATTTTAAAAAATATGGACATTTTTAGGAATAAAATACAATCACAGCAGTTTCTTCACATACAAAACCTACCCAGACAAGGCTTTGTTGTGTGTGTGTGTAAAGCGTATACCTATTGTTGAGAGGTGAAACAAGCTTGACTGCGAAACAGGCCTCGCCGCACTGCATCGCTTGTTGCACGTCCCAGCAAACAGCTCTCTCTCTCTCTCTGTAAATATCAATGTGCAGCAGCGTACTAGCAACGGTGCCTGTGCTCCAAATTAAAACGTTGTAATTATTAAGCATCTCCTGAAATGAAATGGATTCTATGTAAGTTAGATTATTTATACAGAGCATAACTAAGCTGCTCTCTAATTCTATGCTCATTACAGAAAATGGATTCAGTCAGAAATCATTTTAAAGTTATGATGAAGGCTTTTTTTTGTATTAGACTGTGAATTGAGGGCGAGAGGAATTTGTATCTATTTGAGAAGTTCAACACTGTTAGGTACTGTAGCAATAACTGGAAGCATTTACTACAGTCATCTTTGCATTCTAAGATTGTTTTTATTTTATTATAATTATATTATTATTAGCCTATAGCCTATTGTTCAGTTACTCTTGCATGCTGGTTCATAATAATGAAACCTTAGGGCTTTTGTGTTTTGTTTTATGTGATGCTGATGGAGGGTGGCAATGGGGAGGGGGGTGGAGTTGGGCTCGGGCTCGTTTTACTCTGAATGTTTGTGGGTTGGTGTTGACGGAACACAACACACCCTGTTCATTCTGTTCGCGCACACAGACACAAGCACAAAGTATTTCTTACTGTGTAGGAATAAAGCAATGTAAGGGCATTGAAGGTCAAAACATACTCTACGCAAGTACGTGAATGTGGACGAAAGCTCGACTTCACTGATCGTTGCGCACAACTGTGCTTTTTTCTATTACGGTCTGCTCTTTCTTTGAAGTCCAATTCTATTATTTCGGAGCAACAGTTAGTTAACGTCTGTTTATAACAACTTACCTTAATAATAACATCTGGTTTAATGTCACAGACATCTGAATGTAACTTTATCGCTCTCTTGAGGTTTGTTATCGCCGCTAGACCAACGCAAGAGCTTACGTTGGAGTGCGTCGACTAGTCTGCGCATGCGTACTTTAAGTATGTTTCGGCCCTTACAAATTTGTTGATTAAAGCCTCCTATACTGTATTCCGCTAATCGAGTAGGAATATATCAGCTAGGTATACACTAGTCCTACGCTTGAAATGAAGGAAACAACATGTCTGTGTGTGGTTTTGAGTGGTAAACCTACATTACCACTGATGGCTATTCTACTGAAGTTCCAAACACTACTGATGCATACTACACATTTCAGTTTTTTTTTCTTAAATATTTTTGTTAATTTATGAATCGGAATTTGTTTGTCTCTCTGGATGAAGAAAAAAAACAGCAACAGCAAAACAAAGGTAGCATCTGTTACCAAAACCCTTACGACTGTACTTAGTGTGCAGAATCTTTTTATGTACTAAATATGTAAACAATTTTGTTTTCAAGTGCCATAGCTAGTGTAAAGTGAAGCTGGATGGCATACGGGGTAGATGCTTTACTGTATAAGTTGTTTACTTGAGAAGCAATCAAAAAGTGGAATTCAGATGCAAGTGTGAATATTCAGACAACCAACTTGTTCATGGAGAACGGGCTCTGATTTGACAGAACTTAAGCACATGTCCACAATACAAGTGAAGCGCATGTAGCATGGGAGAGTGGGGGGGTTTCTGTTAACTTGCCAACAGTGTGAGTGTGAGTGTGTATGTATGCGAGTTGGACAACAGTGTAGGGTTTATAGCACTTTGTGTGATGGACTGAATATGTGTGCTTGTACTTGTATGAGTCGGGGTGGGTTGAGCTTGATGTGCAAACATTGTGAAATGGACATGTACAGTACTGATTAATCGAGACCTTAAAGTGTCTCCTCCATGTTGTATATACTAAGCGAAGGACTTAAGTGATTTTTGTTAAATTCTATATTTTATGGCTTTTGTAGACATTTCTTTGTGGGATAAAAAAAAATAAAGAAAATTTTATGGATGCAAACTTGTCTTCATTCGATTTCATTTAACGTCTTGTGTTCAAGGAAAAAATATCGAAACTTCCTCAAAAAACAAGATGAATTTATTTTAGAAGCAAAAGTGTGTAAGATAAGAGAATAGATCAAAAAGTGTATTTGCTCTTTGCAAAGTTTCTAATTGTAATTTGTTTTATGCTTTAATAATAATAAAAAGAAATTGCCAGAGGGTTAGGAAAAATCTACTTTGAATAAAAAAAATAACAATTCTTATTACCTTACACAGTAATCTTATGAAATAAATTGACTTTGGAAGCAAAACTGCATGAGATGAGGCTTTTGCCAGTGGGGTAAGAAGAATTGAACAATTGAAATAAATCCATATTGTTTTTAATGTTTTTTTTTACTGCACTCATGGGGAGTTTACCATTAAACCACTAAAATTGCAAAAGGTACAGACATGAACTAATAAAAGAATTTAAAAAAAATGTGAAAAAAAAAAATGTGATCACTGAAACATGACTTCCCTTAACTGTTGTACAAAAACACATCAGCTATGACCAACACAAAAGTAAATGTTTTGTCACCTTGAGCAGCTCTTACATTTTTATATATATATATTCAGTCTGTGAAAACTGCAAACAGAGATTAGAGAATGAAATAGGATGTGAACAAGATGAGGTCCCCCGAGTTGTGGCTTATGATAACGTCTACTTCCAGGTCAGAGGTTAAACTGTGCTGCTCGTCACATCAAAGGCAGGAACTGACTTCCTTTGGCTGCCACAACTCCTCATATCTAAAAAAGCCAAACACAATATATTCAATTGTGATACATATTCATAATGTATCACAGAGAGATGCTTTTCTTAAGATCCGAAATGAAATTTGTGGATTGTACATTAATAATTTGTTTTGATTTGATGTGGTTCTTGGAGAGGACGAAGACGGGGGAAAAAACAAAGCACCTTTGAAATATCAAACAAATGTGGCAGAGTCATTTTTGTTTGTTTGTTTGTTTATTTTTTATCCCTGTACTTCTGAAGCAAAGACTCCCTCTTGATACAAACAACAGGCATCTCATATGTCTTCCATGAGACAGTAATTAATATCTAATCAAAGTCAACACTCTCTAACGCACAAAGAACTATTAAATATGTAATCAAAGAGAACACTCCACATGCCACAAAGGAAACCACGCCCCTCTTCTGCATGCCTTTGCTGTCATGGAAATGAAATAATTTCTGCCTCATTAGAATTGTTTTCTAAACCTTCAGGCTTAATTAGACGGCTTTTCCTGTTCATTTTGAAGTTTGCGCTTTTCAAACGAACTATCAAATCACTTCTAAAGTTGGAAACATGGAGGTATGCCATGTGGACGTATTTGCGAGAGCTGCCACTGCAGGGAATGAAAAATAGAAGAGTATTGAAAGTTCAGCCCTCAACCTGTGACATGAGTGTTACCTCACCTGAGAGACCGAGCTTCTTGCAGCAGGAGTTGCAGGTGTGCTTGATAACAAAGCTCTGGATTGCATCATCACCCAAATTGGCAGGTCCAAACGCCATCTCTTCAGAGGAGCTACAACAGGAGAAAACTTTACTTAGGAGCGGAGTAAACAAATGCATTGAGAAGTACAAATTTGAGCAAATATATTTAAACATTTAGGACACTACGCATTTGTTGTACCTATTTACCTTTTGTCATCAACTCTGATCAGTGAGGGGTCTGTGAGGTCCGCTCCCACACCTTCAGCCAAAAATAAAGATTCAATTCATCAACTTTCCAATAATAATAATAATTACAGGCTTGTAGAGTAAGTCTATCTTATACCTTGTAGATCCAACACTAGCAGTTCCCTGTTGGTATACTCGAATGTCCAGTGAGAGAACGCTAGCATTGCTTCTTCCAGACCAGAGGAGGGCGAGATCTCCTCTCCAGTATTATTGTTATATTTCCTGAAATGACCGCTCATGTTCTTCTCAACAGTC